TAAATATGCATCGATATGTAAAAAGTTCCACATCTTACATTATCAGAGTTCCAATTACACAAGTATCCTGCTCACTCAAACAAAAGCAAATGCCCTACGGGCTTACAGCTTTCCAAGTTAACACTTGGTTACAACAAAAAGATACTAACTCATTTACACATATGTAGCCCTTGGCTGAATTTACATGTATACATCAAAAATAAAACGACAAAAGTATGTCCGCCTCTAGCCTCCCTCAAGCTATGTCCTTCGGAGGTGGCATGCTACTGTACCTGAAAATGATATTCCCAATAGGGTGAGCCATCATCGCCCGAGAACAATACCCTAAACCAACCATGAACAATGACTAAAAGATTAGCAATTGATAGATGGCCAACACTGTATACATTCCATAATCACATATTTATTCATACGACTTATGAGTCCAAGTTACTTTTCATTTTCCCTTTTCAACAGATGCATAAAGCTTATCCAATTTAAAAGATATGTATAAAAACTATATCCCACATTCACAGACATAAGCATATAGCTATATCCACATTCTCACCAGATATGTAAACAACTATATCCACATTCCCAGATAAGGCATATAACTGTATGTCCACACTTCCAAAAGTTAAGATAATGAGCTCTATCTTCACTTCTCTAGACAATGCATATGAGCTGTATCTACGGAGTTCATCCCCTATTCTTCTCCCAACACTATCCCGGTTTAGAGGTCATCCCCCCATCTTCCCCTAAACCGCGAGTACATCCCCATCTCCTCCTCTAAACACATAACGTATACAAACACATTGGTTCTATTATACATATCACTCATAATACATAAGTTAATGTATTCTATCACCGTCAATTTCCATGACACATTCGCATTGATTAGTTTTCGTTTGCCTAATCATCATGCCATTGTCTACAACAATCAACGGACTATCCTCCACCGATAGCCCAACAGCCTATTTCTAACAGAAAAATAAATGCACAAATGGATATCAATTTTCAACATTTCATTCCGGTGAGTGATAAATAATCAACTACACCCTTACCCTTTGCATTCCAATCTCAACAATCTCATTTCATTTCGCTCATTCTTCACAATTAAATCATCCCAATTAATCAACAATGTAATTAGGATCATTTTTCCATAATTAACATTTCAACCCTTAGGTCCCATTTTCATCATTGTTCAACATTTATTCCATTTCCTCTATGCCAAACATGCATTAAGGTTTATTATGATAAAACCCCAACTTTTGTAAAATAACACAAAAAGCCCGAGAACTTTCACCAAATTACCAAACCAACCCCAAACATCTCAAAATACTAAAATTTAAAGACACAATCCTATTAGAGAGGAGCCTAGAGATATTCCCTCTACCTCGAATTTCGGATGCTCACAAAAAGGAGAAAAATACGACAGAACCAACGTGCTCCATCATTCGAATTTTTCAGATAAAAATGTAGTCCTCTGACGATCAACACTTTTTTGTAAAGGCCAAAGGTGAGCAAATCACTCCCTATAGATCAAAACCTAGAGAGAAGGTAGAGTTCTTAAAGAGTGAGAGTGCTCAACATGGTGTTTTGGAAAAGTAGGAAGAAGAAGAGAAAGTGAACAAAGTGAAATTTGAAAAGTCAAAACACGGACTTTGAAAACCCAGTCGAACGCCGCTCGGAGCGTCAACACACGCCGCTCGAGCTGTCACTGCACAGACTCCACGCTCGGAGCGCTCAAACAACCGCTCGAAGCGGACGTGCAACAGCTCCCAGAAACTTTTACAGAACCAGGCCATGCGCTCAGATGCTTCCAACCCCCGGCTCGGCGGCAACTCACACAACCCCGCTCGAGCGGCCAAGCTCCACGTGTTGTAAGTGCCACGCTCGAGCGTCCAACACTGCACAGGAAATACTGGATGGGTGCAATTCCCGCTTGAGCGCCAAAACCCCCGCTCGAGCGGACAGGTCAAAATCTGGGCAACTAGTTTTGGTTTCTAAACTCAACCAACCTGTAACAAACCTGCCCAACACATCCTATAACTCAAATATGAAGTAAAAGGATGTAAACAAGATAATAATCAACTATCAACATCCACGGACACATGTCCGGATCACTGTACAATAAGGGTAAACCCGGGATCGCTATAATCACCCGGATGACTACTGAATGTTTGTTAAAATTACTAATTTGGATGATCACTCGGTCAACCACCGGAAAGTTGGTTAAGCTAAAAAATAGCAATTTGACAATTGGAACAGCATTGTTATCATATTGCTATTTTACACTATTTACTGCTAAATTATAGTTGTAGCCATATATTTTACTTGTTCACCGTTGAAATTGCTGTTACGAAATGCCAAATTTTAGCAATGGCGCCACATTGATGCAATGCCATTTTGGCACAATCCTAACCAACTTTTCTCCTATGTTTTAGATGGTGTTTGGATATAGTTTTTTTGGATATTTTTAATTTTCTTTTTATCTTTTTAAAACTTTTTCTAAAAAAAAAAAAAATTATATATTTACATTTTACACGACTAGATAAATAAAAAAAATTAAAAATTTTGAAAAAAAAATTATTCTAATTCACCCACCATTCACATGCCACTATAATATTGAAAAAACAAAAAAAAAATACTACCTATTTTAAAAATTGAAAAATAAAACCCACCAACACCTACCCATCAGTTTTGCAGAGATATCTACAATTCTGACCAACCATCCACCTATCCGGGCATTCTTCAAAATATATCTACAATTCTCACTCACAATCCACCATCCACCTACCATAAATACTTATACCATTTTCACACATTATTCACCCACTAATAACCACCCATTAAAGAAGGTCCGGAGAGAGACTCTCTCTAGGTGATTTCTAGCGATACTTTGGCGTTGCTCCGGTGACATTCCGGTGACCTATTTTACACTTGTAAAATGTAGATCTACACTATTAGAGTATAGATCTACAGTTTTAAGTGTAGATCTGGACTTTTTATGTTTGAAATGGGGGATATGAGAGTTTTCTTCGATTTCGACATAGATTTTTTGATTTTCGATACCTACAATGGTTCCCTCCTTTCTCAAGTCTTCTCCCATACCATTGTGGGTGTATTTCCTTCTCAACTCTAGCTTTTGGCAGTGTTCGATGTCCTGTGGCGGTGGTGACAAAGTTGAGCAATAGTGACGGGAAGGACAGAGAAGGAGACGGCAGGCTTTCAAGCAGACCTTACTTTTCAGACCATATCTTTGAGAAGATCAGTGGTTTTCCCTAACTCATAGCTGTGTTTTTGGCGAATTTGTTTTTATCTTTTGTTTTGTTGTTTAGTTGTGATGGCCTTTTAGGGTCTTACTTATGTAATGTTATTGTTTATTAATATAATGTGTCCCATGTTCTCAAAAAAAAAAAAAAAAAAAAACCTCCCATTATTTACTTTTTTTGATTAACATTTTTTGAAAATAATTTTTCAGTTTTCTATTTTATGTGTTTCTTTTGTCTTTGGTAAAATGTTTTAATTTAAATTTTTTTTTTAACTTTTTGTTTTAGTTAATCTAGATACACTTCAGTGAAATTTTTATTTCAAAACATCAGATTTTTTTGTTATAAATATTTTATTAACTAATAGATATATATAATTCACTATAGACAACAAGACAAAAAATAAAAAATTCAAAATAAAAGAGAGTAATGTAGTTTAAGTTTTTGTTTGTAAAACTTAAGCGTATGAAGTGACTGTATCTATAAAAATTCCTCCAGTCGCCACTGATGATACTCTTGTCGAGATTCAAACAATAAAATAAAAAATATGACTCATTTACATTATGTAGAGACATTAATACATGTGGGCACTTAGTTAAATATAAACACTTATAATATAACTCAAAATGTATTTTTATATATATATAGGGAAATGTTAGGGAGTGCACTCCTTGAGGGGTGCATACATATACACCCTATCACAAAATATATAATTTTATTGTAAAATTTTGTAATATCAATAATAATATGTAACCTTGGCATAAATTGGTGTAACAAAATATCTAAAATTTTGTAGTTGATATTGCAAACTCACCTAGGAACAAAATGTTACTTGTTACTTACTAAACAACACAAGCGTTTATATATATTCTTGACTTAGGCCTCGAATTGTTCTGACTTTTTAAAAATTAAATTTTTTATTTTTCATAATATTTTATTTTTTAAAAACTAATTAAAATATTAAAAAAAATTCACTAAGAATAAAAAAACTCAAATTTCAGAAAATCAATCTAAACCAAACAAGATAGTAGCACACATTAAGACCCTGTTTGGGGATATACTATTTTAGTCTAAAAACTAAAAATTTATTATAAGTTGTCACATCATTTTCAAGCAATGATTAGTAAATGTTTATGACCCATTAAAAACTTTCAACAATTTCTACAGTGATGTGGCATAATACACGTCAACTTTCAATTTGTCACGTACTCAATTGTGTGGGGTCTATCCTTTTTGCCACATCATTTAGGGTTTCAATTTGTGGGTCTCTAATACTACTTTTAGAATTATGTAAAAAATAGTGAATTAATCATTATTTGAAATTTTGAACATTGAAGACTTTTTTTTCCCCACCCACTTTCCGCACTATTAGGTTATATTTTGATCATAAATTTAGAGAAAAATTTACATAGAAAAAAAAAAAGAAAAAAAAAAAGAAGAAGTTAATGAAATAAAGCTATTTTTCACATTTCCATTATCTTTTACTTGCCTCCGCAAATTCCTCCGTTAATTTATAATCAACCTATATATAAACAAGTGTTTTTTTCCAGTCAATCAGTGTTGTTTTCTTCTAAAAGAGACTTGATTACTTTCAAAAGATTCTTTTCTTTTTGTTTTTTTTGTTTTTTTTTGTTTTTTTTTTGTTTTTTGTTTTTATAATTTTTATCAACTACTTGTAGAAAAACATGACAATGAAATGTGAAAGTTCAAAAACTTCTACCCCGAAGAAGTAATTGCCATTCATGAGCTATGACTTTTGAAGTCATCAAGTCTTCTAATAGAGTTCCCTTAAGTTCATGTCTAAAAACTGCAATGCACAAGTTAAACTATCATCTTTAAACACTCGTACCAAGTAACCTTCCATACTAAGAAGCCATGGGCACAACCTATAGTGCTCTTTTGATGTTATTGCTTTTCTTTTCATTGAAAGAATTGAGTTCTGTTGTAGCACTACAAATTCAAATGTGAGTTGCATAGTGAGTGAGCGAGAAGCTTTTATCGAGTTTAGGGGAAAGCTGAAAGATGATGCAAATCACTTACCCACGTGGGTTGGAAAAGATTGTTGTTTATGGAAGGAAGTCGGTTGCAGTAGGAAAACAGGCCATGTCATGAAGCTTGATCTACGTAATCCAATCCCTTTTGATTTCCACAAGGGCGATTTTATTCAGCATTCTACAAATTTCGACAAGAACAGATTGAGAGGCGAGATAAGTCCTTCATTACTCGTTTTAAATCATTTGAGTTACAAAGACTTGAGCATGAACAATTTTTCAGATATGCAATTTCGAAAATTCTTAGGCTCCCTGAAAAGCTTGAGATACCTTGACCTCTCTTGGTCACAATTTTTCAGTGGAATGGTTCCTGATCATTTGGGGAATCTTTCAAGATTGCAGTATCTCAACCTTAGCAATAACGCTTTAGTTGATCCAATACCAGATACTCTTGGAAGGTTGATATCTCTCACAGTCCTTGACCTTTCTTTTAATGACTTTGATAACTCAATGTTGCATTGTTTGAGTAACTTGAGTAGCCTTGTCCATATGGATATCAGTTCCAATAATTTTAACAGTTTAATTCCTGATGCTCTTGGAAGGTTGACAGCTCTCACCTTCCTTAACCTTTCTATAGCATTTCTGGTTTAGACCCAACCCATTTTGTATTTTGAACTCGGGTTTCATAGCCTCGTATGGTTGATCATTCTTTTCCCTCCTATTCTTACTTGAGTTTGACTATTGAGTTGTATCGAGCATGTTTTAAACAGGTTGGTTGCTTAGTTTTCAAACTTTTGTTACCCTGGATTTTTGTCCTCCGCTCGAGTGGCACTTCTTGCGCTTGAGCAGGATTTGCAAACTCTCAGTCCTTTTGCAGGTCTGCAAAACAACTAGGAGAGTGTACTCTATGCTTGAGCGGCGTTTCCTACACTTGAGTGGCACTTTCTCGCGCTCAAGCCTTGGTCTATTGTCTATAAAACTACTGGAAGCGCGTATTCTGCGCTCGAGCGTCACTTCTTGCGCTCGAGTGGAACAACTTATTGTGTCTGACGCTCGAGCGTCAACTCTTGCGTTCGAGCGGACTGTGCATATATTAGATCACGAAAGTGACTTTTTACATCACTTTTCATACTCTTTTTTTTCCTAAAAACCCTAGATTAGGACCTTCTCTCTCTAAAACACACACTCTCTCTCTACATTTTCACCTAGTTCTAGTGATATCTCTACCCTCTTGCCTTTGTTAAAAAGAGTGAGCATCTCAAGATCTCTATTTTGATCTTAATAAAGTTGGGTTTAAGCATCTTTAAAGTTTCATCTTTGCCTTGCTCGTCTTCTCTTTGTGAGATAGAGATTTTCTACACTTTCATATGATTTTTAACTTAGTTATGAGTTGTTATTGTATAACAATGGTGGAATTTGGGGTTACTATGAACAAACCTAGGGTTTGGGTATTAAATCAAAAAAGGAGTTTCTAAGGGAATGAGTTATAATTGGTTATAGGGTTAAGTATGAGGTTGTATTGTGGCAAACTGGTTGATATTGGCATTTGGGTTGATATTTGGGAAATAAGGAGTTTGCCCTAAAATGTTTCAAATATTTATTTTGTATAAATAAATGGAATTGGTATTGAAAATGTGAAATTAAACGGATGTTGGCATAAAGGGTGGTGAAGAATATGTATTATCTCGCATCCATGGAACTTTGAATAAATTACCTGTCTTGAGATTAAATATCTGTTTAGAGATATCTGTATTGGGCCATCAGTAGTGGATAACTATGATTGTTGTAGAAAATGCATGAGGATTAAGTTCATTGAAACTAATCTCTTGTTGATTGTCATTGAATATGACCGTGTTTTAAATACATTGTATATGTATGATGTTTGGGAGGAGAAAGGGGATGTACTCCATGTTTGGGAGGAGAAAAACGATAGACTCCATTGAATTAAGTTGGTCTGTGTGTCCAGGGTGAAAGTCCCGAAATTATTGTGTAACATGGGTGCCGATCCCACGGACGAAATTTTCGTAAAATGACAAATTGAAGTGTTTGGATAATGATTGTGCTGAATTGTGAACCATTGAGTTGTAGTCTCATTTGAGTTGTCCGGATCATAATAAATGTAACTCATGAATTGAGATGAAATGAACTGACTTGAAATGAATTGAGATATAGAACTTGGCATATCATAACTTCATAGAATATTGATGATTATACTACGGGCATTGTATATGCATTTCATATTTATATCTTTGTTAAGATCCATATATTGTGTTAGATTGTTTCTACTAGGCTTTGGCTCACCCTATTTGGGAAAATCAATTTTTAGGTATTGGTGATATGCCTCTGCCAAGGCAATAGCTTGGAGGGACTTTGGAGAAAAGGCTTCCTTTTGTTGTAGATTTTCTTTTGTATAGCCAAGGGCTTTATTTGTATTAAGCTAGTCTCACTTTTGTTATAACCAAGTTATGACTTGGAAAGATGTAAGCCTATAGGGCATTTACCCATGCTAAACTCTTTTGTACCATTTACTCTATGAAATCAAAGAACATTACACTCTGATTCATGCTGTTATTCATATATGTTCTTAGTTGGATTTATGGTTTATTTCGGGGCGTTACACTTTCTGACAACAATTTCGATAATTCAATGTCATGTTCTTTGTGCAACCATACCGGTCTTGTCCATTTGGATCTTGGTTTTAATAGTCTTAATGGTCCAATTCCAAGTGAGATTGGTAATATGACACAACTCACAGAGCTTCACTTTACTAGAAACAAGTTCAAAGGTGAAATACTAAACTCCATGTGGTGGAACCTTTGCAACTTGCGTGTACTTGATTTGTCCAATAACAAGTTCAAAGGTGAAATACCAAACTCCATGCAAAACCTCTACAGCTTGTGCATACTTGATTTATCCTATAACAAGCTCAATGGGAACCTTTCGACTTTAGTTAGTCCATTTGGTTGCATCCATAGTAATTTAAAGGTGTTAGAACTTAAAACAAACATGTTTAGCGGTCATTTGCCAAACCACTGGGGAGAGTTCAAGAATCTTGAGTACCTTGATATTTCTGAGAATTCATTTTATGGTCTACTGCCATCATCAATTGGAAGACTGTCATATTTGAGAGGGTTGAATACTAGAAATAATCAATTGAATGGGAGCATTCCAAATAGTCTTGGACAACTTTCAAAACTAGAAAAGCTAGATTTATCAAAAAATTCTTTTGTTGGCCATGGTATTTGAACTTCATTTTGCCAAACTCAAGAGGTTAAATGAGTTATACTTGTCTCCAAACACATTATTAGTTCTGAATGTGAGCTCCCAATGAGTTCCTCATTTTCAACTCCCATCCATACTAATGGCATCCATCAAAGTGGGACCCCAATTTCCTCTGTGGCTTAAGACACAAAAAAATGTTAGAGATTTAGTCATGTCTAATGCAAGCATCTCAGATACCATTCCAGATTGGCTTCATAATATTTTTTCTGGTATTCGACACTTAGATTTATCTAACAATTAGATTAGCAGAAAGGTGCCAATATTTCAAGAATGTAAATACTGTGATTATACAGAGAATCATAGTGTAGACATCCCATTTTTTGACCGCCCTTAAGACTTGGGCACTACTGATTGTTTACTTGGTGGTGAAAGACGAGCAGTGCAAATGTTCGATTTCTTCGGCAAGGAGAGCGTCAAATCCCAACTTCACACCCCATTTTGGACCAAAACCATTTTGAATAAAAATATTTTAGACCTTACAACCCTCTCTTTCGAAATATTTTTGAAAGAAGTTTCTACGATGTTCCGAGGCTCGCATTTTGTTAAATGTCGCACTTTTCGATAAATCGAGCAAGGACAAAGTGGGGATGAATCAAATAGAGGTGAAATCTTTGGAAAATATTTCAAAACACCTTTCTTAGGGGTTTGGATTTGAATAAAAGAGGAGAGGAGAGAAGAAAACAAGTTGGAGAAGAAGTTCGGCATGAATCCCGGTAGTATCGAAATTGAGCAGTCTTCACTCAAATGAGTATAAATTTTTGAACACTTTGAATTTTGATGTGAGGCTGCCACCATTGGAAAGAAGACTTCCAGGGCTTCAATTTAGGCTCAAGAATGACCTGCAAAGGATTCTAGATAAAGGAGTTATGTCCAGTTGAAGTCGGGCCCAAAATGCAGATTTTTCTGTCCAACCAGAGGTGGAAGATGCTGGCCATAAATGGGATTTTTTGGCCATGTGCCGGCCATGAATGGCCTAGGCCGGGCCCCTTCCATCCAATGGTGTCCCATGCCGGCCAACAATGATCAAGTGCCGGCCAACAATGGTCATGTGCCGGCCATTGATGGGAGAAAGCAGTTTTTGGCAGATATTTGTTGTCCAGCTGGTATAACTGTCTCTCTTGAGATATTTTCGACCTAAGGCTCTTATATTGCTATATATTGAAGCCAAATATCTCATATTCAAGGGTTAGAAATATTTGGCAAAGGTTTGGGAGCCTCTCACTCTAAAACCTCTCTCTCTAAAGCTTTTGTGCTAGAAGCTTGCATACAACCATCTCCAACCTATCAACCCGTAACAAGAGTGGTTCATCTTTGGGCTGAGATTCCTTGAGGATTTGTTTGAGCTCCAAAAGATGGTTTTAGCTTAATTTGGTGCATCATTTGTGCCTAGAGTGCTCTTTGCTTCAAAGATATAATACTTACCTTCTTTAATCTTGTCTCTCACACTTGCTTTGCCATCATTTTACACCATTTCAAGGCTGGTTTTCAACTGTAAAAAAGTCTGATTTTGAGGTTTTAAAATGGTGGTTTAAGCCTTGTTTGGTTAGGGGGTGTTTCCTCCCTTTTCCTCCTTGGCTTGTAAAGCCTTTTGAGCTATTTTTCAAGCTTTTCAAACAATCTCTTTTTGGCCTTAAAACCACTAAATTCCAGAGGAATTTCAGTGGTGGAAAACCTATTTTGAGGCCCAATATAGGAGGGGGTGGCCTCCCCTCCTTGTCTCTCCATGCTATGCCTAGTTAGCCTTGCAAAGCAACATGTTTTTGTGACTTGTCTTAGCTTAGTTTGAGCATGTTTTTGGCCAGATTTTAACATGTTTAAACTCTATTTTTGGCTGGTTTGTCCACTCATTGCTTGCATCTTGCACTTGTAGTGTAAACTTGTTCACTAGCCCAGTGTACTTGATGGTTTAGCCTATTAATCTAGCATGTGTATGCTCCACTCCAGCATGTTTTTGGCTCTAATTTAGCATGCTTTAGGACTATTTTGAGTGGTCTTGGCTTCTTGGGGCTTGCTTTGTATAGCTATGGCATAGTTGGCTTTGCTAGTCTTGTGTTTTGAGACCACTAGCATGCCTTATTTGTGATGTTTGTGTGATATGGCATCATTTGGTATGTAATTTCAGAGCTTATATCTTTTCCATACTTTCACTTAAATCACTCTTTCAATGGCTTTGAGAGTTGTGCCTTTATGCCTTGTTTATAGGCCAATACATGAGTATGCATTTCCTGCTATTTGAGCTTCAATTTCAGCATGTTGTAGCCACTGATTTAGCATGATTAAGCTCTGTCCAAAGCTGGTTTGATTGTTATGGCTCATGAATTGCATAGCTATAGTGCAAGTGCCTTAACTAGCTTTAAGTTTTAGGGCCTCTAGCATGCTTTGCTTGTGATGTTTGCTTGATATAGCATCATTTCTCATGTGATTTTAGAGCATATGTCATTGTCACACTCTCACACATTTCACTCTCTAAGTGCTTTTGAGTGTTGAGCCTTATGCCTTGTTTGTGAGCCAATATAGCGATCCCGGGTTTACCCTTGTTGTACAGTGATCCGGACATGTGTCCGTGGATGTTGGTAGTTGATCATTATCTTGTTTACATCCTTTCTTACTTTGTATTTGAGTTATAGGATGTGTTGGGCAGGTTTGTTGTAGGTTGGTTGAACTTAAACACTAAGAGTAGTTGCCCAGATTTTGGCCTTCACGCTCTAGCGGGGATTCTGACGCTCGAGCTGGGTTTTCGACGCTCGAGCGGGAGTTTTGACGCTCGAGCGGGTTGTTGTGTGTGACGCTTGAGCGGGATGGTTGACGCTCGAGCGGAGACCTGGTTCTGTAAAAGTTCTGGGAGTGTGTATCCGCCGCTCGAGCGGGATTGTTGACGCTCGAGCAGGGCGACTGGGTTAAAGCTCCGTGTTTTGTCATTTCAAGTCACTTTTTCACTTTCTCTTCTCTCTCATACTTTTCCAAAAACACCATTGTTGAGCCTCTCACTCTAGAACTCTACCTTCTCTCTAGGTATTGATCTAGTAAGAGTGATTTGCTCATCTTTGGCCTTTACAAAAAAGTTGTTGATCGTCGAGGATTATATTTTGATTCGAACATTTCGAGTTTTGGAGCACGTTGAGTTTTATCATCTTCTCCTTTGGGGCTCCGGATTTGAGGTAGGGATTTCCTACTCCTCTCTATGAATTTTGTCTTTAAATTTTAGTATTTTGAGATGTTGGGGTTGGTTTGGTAATTTTGTGAAAGTTTGGGACTTTTGTGTAATTTTACGAAAGTTGGGGTTTTATTCGTAATAAACCTAGATGCATGTTTGGCATAGAGAAATGGAATAAATATTGAATCATTGATGAAAATGGGACCTTCAGGGTTGAAATGTTAATTATAGGAAATGCCCTAATTACATTGTTTGATTAATTGGGATAATTAATCGTGAGAAATGAGGAAATGAAATGGAAATGTTGAGATTGGGAATGTATGGGAAAAATGGTGTAGTTGAATTATTTATCACTCACCAAAGTGAAATGTTGATTTAATATCCATTTTTGCATTTATTTTCTGCATAGAAATAACTGCTTTGGGCTATCGGTGGAGGATAGTCGTGATTGTTCTAGACAATGCATGATGATTAGGCAAACTAAAACTAATCGATTGAATGTGTCATAGAATATGACGGTGGATTGAATACATTAATTTTATGTATTGATTGATTGTGTATAGAACCTTTGTGTTTATATGCATTGTGTATAGAGGAGGAGATGGGGGATGTACTCCGTGGTTTAGGGGAAGATGGGGGATGTACCTCTAAACTGGATAGGATTGGAGGAGATGGGGGATGAACTCCGTAGACACAGCTTATATGCTTGTCTAGAGAAGTGAAGATAGAGCTCATAGGCTTATCTTTGAGAAGCGTAGATACAGCTCATATGCTTGTCTAGTGAAGTGAAGATAGAGTTCATATGCTTATCTTTGTGAAGTGTAAATACAACTTATATGCTTATCTGTGAATGTGGGATATAGTTGTTATACATATCTGTTGGGAATGTGGATATAGCTTATATGCTTATCTGTGAATGTGGGATATAGTTTTATATCCATATCTGTTTTGAGACGTATGATAGGGCTATATGTCCTTATCTGTTGGAAAAATGGGAAAAAATGAAAAATAACTTTGACTCATGAGTCGTTATGGACATAAAAATGTGATTTATGTGAAATGTATCAGTGTGGCCATCTATCATGGTAATCTTTTTAGTCATTGGTTCATGGCAAATTTTTTTTGTGAATTTTTTTAGTTGTTAATTCTAATATCTGTTATGCTGCTAGGTGCTGTTTCGTAAACTCAAACTGTAATATCACTATTAAATTTGGTTTTTAATTTCATTTTTTTTTTCTAAAAAAGTTTTTGAAAAAGATTAGGAAAAGTAAAATTTAATAAAATATCCAAAAAAACTTATTATCAAATCCAAAAGCGGTAGCATGGCCACCTCCAAGGACCTAGCTTGGACCATCGATAAGGCTAGTGCAAACAGTAAGTGAGAATAGTTGATTGTGTTGTGTGTTTGGTTTAGGATTGTGTTTAGTTTCTTTTTTGTGAGCCAATGATATATGTGACCATTGCTGATCAATATTGATTGATAGCCGAGGGGGCGCCATTGCTAAAATTTGGCATCTAACCAGCAACTTCAACGGTGAACAAGTAAAATATTATGCTACAACTATAATTTAGCCACGTTTAAACGAATAGTGTTAATAAATATAGACAATTATGCTACTCTTTTTGTTGGGATTTTTAACAATGCTGTTGTCAATTTTGTTACACCAAATTGCTATATTTTTTTAGCTAACCAACTTTCCGCGTGTGGGTTTGAAGCCTGTTAACTATGGAAAGCTGTCAAGCCGTAGGGCATTTTGCTTTTGTTTATCTAAACATGTAAATATTCTTGTAAGAAACTCTGCCATGAATT